CCCCTTAGGACTTTTCTGTGAACTAATGTCAAAAGTGCACAAAATTGTTTGTCCCTGGCTTATATTGGTATTTAAGGAGAGTGATTATGGCCTGTGCAAATCCCAGTGCTTAGCACAGTGAATATTAGCAGTGAAGCATGACTCAAGCCAGGACGCCTACGTCCCTGAGCCCGATCTCCCACTTAAAGAGGCACTCATCCCCCTGTCATCAGGTTGGTGTGAGGACTAAACAGAGCAAATGTGTGGGAGGCCATCCTCGCACGTGATTTGAGTTACCTCCCTGGCTGGGTGAGAGGCACTTAGACACAGGACCTCCAGGTCCGAGGGCTTATCCCTGCAGAGGCATGTCTGGCCACTGCCCTGAAGACCCAATCGTTTCCCCTGAACTTTGGATGCTGCCCCCCCCCATCTTCATTGGACGGGATTTTCCCCAGCATTTTTTGTTTCCTAATAAAAGCCCACTCCCTGGCATGTTCTCTCTCGATAGCCTCTTCAGTAAACCTCTTGCTACCACTTTTGGTGGCTTGAGGCTGGAGCTGGGAGGAGCCGTCCTGGAGCTGGTTTTAAAGGTAATTAGAGTCTTGTCTCTTTAATTTAAAACTCCCTAGCGTTTTCTCACAATTCGAACCTTCTTTCAAGAAGCCAGTGCTGGTCACGGGCTAGACAAATGCTTAGAATGACGGCTGGCACCTCGTAAGTGATAAGATTCAGCTGTGATTACTAGCAAACGTAATCAGAAAAATTAAATAGTATCACATCCATTTGACCCGGTGACTTGTATTTCTCATCAATTCATCTGTTGCACTTTGACTTCATTTTTTAAAATGTTTCTTTAGTTGTTGATACACTTTTATTTACTAATTTATATGTGGTGCTGAGAATCGAAGCCAGTGCCTCACACATGCCAGGCAAGCATGCTACAGCTGAGCCCCAGCCCCAGCCCTTGACTTCATTTTTAACACATGCAAAATTATTTACTGTGAGTACACGTATACAAACAAGAAACTCGTTCATCCAAGCAACAGAGAGTTACTGAATGAAAGGTGTCTGTCCTGGAACTGCAGATGAAGCCAGGAAGAAGGGAAGCAAGGGATTCAGAAATGACCTAGTGATTTCTGACCTTAGGGAAGAGAAAGAAGGAGGAAGATTTATAACAGGGTCATGCCGTCCAAGGTCGCAAGGGGCACACCATCGACATGTCTGTGCAGATCACAGCCTGTGGGGAGTTCCGGTCACCTGCCCAGCATCTCTTCCTACCTGTTGTTATTAGAAAGCTTATTTTCCCCAGGGAAACTCCACTGGCCCCCATATCAGCTACCAGTCCCAGTGGATCATGAGAGGCTGATTCCAATCAGATTCCTGCCTGGATGGGACCTGGGCCTGCCTGACCAAGGAATCAGATGCCCTTTGCTACCGCAATGGCTCCATGGTGAACCTGTCACCCAAGATGGGTCAGAGTCAGCAAGCTTTGAAAGGAAAGCGCTCTCTCTTTTCCTGCTGGGGTTCAGACTAAGGCTTCCTCATGGCACAACAGGGCTTATCAGAGAAGAGAAACTGGTAAAAGTGAAGCAAACACCTATGAAAATAAAGCAGAGTAATGAGGAGGCAGAGAGATGGGTCAGGTCTCCCTGTGATTCATCCCTGATCTACTCGCGCCAATTTCACCCTTGGACTTTCTTCTTGAGCCAACAGGTCTTTGCTTTCCCTCTTCTAGATGGGTCTTCTGTTCTTGAATCAGAAAGAGATCCAGGATAAATGAGAAAATAAGAAGTGCTTGTCAGGGTTTGGACCTGGAATGTTCCCAAAGGCTCATGTGTTGAAGATCTAGTCCCCAATGCAGCCATGTCCAGAAGTGGGGCTTTGGGGAAGTGGTGGAGTCGGGAGGGCTCTGGCCTCGTCCATGGATTAATTCACTGACGGCTGAAAGGACTCTTGGGAATTGGTGGAAACTGTCCACAGTGAGAAATGGTTGGTGCAAGTCGGTCACTGGGGTGTGCCTGGAGAGGGTATTTCTCTTTTTTTTTTTTTTGGCACTTGGGGTTGAACTGGGGTTGGGGTAGATACCACTGAGTGACATCCCCAGTCCATTTTATCTATAATATTAATTCAGGGCCTCACTAAGTTGCTTAGGACCTTGCCAAGTTACTGAGGCTAGCCTTGAACTTGCGATCCTCCTGCCTCAGCCTCTTGAGTGGCTGAGATCACAGGCGTGGACCACCATGCCTGGCAGGGAAGGGCATTTCGTAACCTGACCCCTTCCTCTCTTTCGATTTGTTTCTTGATGCCATGAGTTAAATACTTTTCCTCAGCCAGGCCCTCTGCCATGATGTGCTGGCCCCACATGGGCCCAGAACAATGGAGCTGGCCAACTGGGGAAACCCTGAGCCAAAATAAATCTTTCCTCCTCTAAGTTGTTTTTTTGTTACTTGTCAAAATAATGAATAGTTGACGAACAGGTTCTAAATCCCAAATTGTTTTATTTAGTCTCAATTGAAGTTACAACTGAAGATCAACCTTTTAATAGAAGGAATTTGAAAGAATAAAAACTTCTAATGTTGTCATTGCTTTGAGCACTTTGCTAATACAAAGCACTATGCTAGACAGTGACACTTTGTCCTAAGAGAGTTTAAGAGAACCTCAACCACCCAGGAGGGAGGTAGTGCCAGGTGGGGGTAGAGGCCTTTCCTGATTCTGACCTTCTGTGTCTGGTCATGATAAATGGATTCCAGCTTGCTGGGAGTTTGCCTGCAGCATCCCAATTGTGAACTAATGGTTCATGGTCCCCAGTGCCTGCCCTTGGGACTATGTACTTGCTTTATTCACCTGCTGTGACAAACTGAACTTGAATTCATTGATCAACCTTGGAATAGCTAAACTAGGACCTATTAACTTCATCAATCTTGTCCTCATCAACTCAATTGTCAAGGTATGTTGCTGGGCACCTGAAGTCTTATCTACTTGGGACACTGAGGCAAGAATATCATTTAAATTCGAAAGTGTGAGGTCAGTCTGGGCAACAGAGCCAGACACCTTAAGAGTCAGGAAAAATATTTTTGTTCTTGCATATATCATATAATTAGAAACAATTATTCAATAAAACATTTTTTGAACTTTTTCAATTCACTTCTTTGTTTCCGTCTTCTCTTCAACCACATAAGATGAACTATAATTATCCTGATTTGGAGGGTTGGGGAGGGGTACCAGGAATTGAACCCAGGGACACTCGACTCCTGAGCCACATCCCCATCCTTATTTTGTATTTTATTTAGAGACAAGGTCTCACTGAGTTGCTTAGCACCTCACCATGGCTAAGGCTGGCTTTGAACTCATGATCCTCCTGCCCCAGCCTCCCAAGTCACTGTGATAATAGGCATGCACCACCACGCCCAGACTAATCACTCTAATTTTATAGAGGAGAAAAGATCAACAGCAGTAATTTAGTGGCAAAACTAATAGGTGGTGTGCAGTTCTTTGGCAATTAACAAAAAACTTGCATTCAGTGCAGTCTGGCCCAGCCCCTCCTCCTTGGCCTTTACCTAGGTGTTGCTCCTTGCATGCTATTGAAAGCAATCAAACTTTGGAACTCTAAATTGATTTGTTCTGTGAATTTTAAGAGAGTGTGGAAGACTTTAGTGTGTTTTAAATTATTTCTAATGTAATTACTCTATTGAGTAACTCAGATTAATTTACAGTTGGTATGTGGTTAAGCTTCACTGCATTTCCACTGGTGGTAATAAATAACCACTGTCGTACACACAAAGACATCCCATAAGCACACAAGGGCTGCTAGTATTGTGCAGCATCCACCTTTCATTGCTTTTCTTGGTGTGCTTCATTTTTCTACACTAAAGACTGTTTTCTTACCTTGGATTATTAGAAAGTGGTGTTGTGAACAACTCATGCTAGTATGGTAGAGTTGTATTTCAGAAATTCACTAAAGGATGCAATCTTTCAGTAGGAAAATGGTTGATGAAAAATGTGAGGGTGCTTAATACATTACCCTAGATGTGCTGTAATAAAAAGCTCCTTCAGAAATCTATAGACAGGCCTGGGGTTGTAGCTGGGTTCTATGGTGCTTGTCTAGCACATGCGAGGTACTGGGTTTGATCCTCAGCAAGATATAAAAATAAATAAATAAAATAAAGAAGCCAGGCATGGTGGTGCATGCCTATAATCCCAGCAGCTCTGGAGGCTGAGTCAGGAGGATCAAGAATTTAAAGGCAGCCTTAAAAAAGGCAAGGCGCTTAGCAACTCAGTGAAACCCTGACTCTAAATAAAATACAAAATAGGGCTGGAGACGTGGCTCAGTGGTTGAGTGACCCTGAGTTCAATCCCTAGTATCAATAAACAATCAAACAAAAAAAGCATACTATATCCATCTACAACTAAAATTAAAAATCTTTAAAAAAAAGAAAAAAATACCTTTGGCCAGCTAATACCAGCTAGAGACCACTCATCTGTATGTTAGTGGCTCTAAGCACTTTAAAATGTTTGGGACATCCGTGATTTGGAAATCAGGATGGAGGGTCATAGGACACACCTTGAAAACTATAGTGGTTGGCTCTGCTGCAAAGAAAGCTGAAAGAAGTCAGGAGTGGGCTGGCCCAGAGTCCCAGCGGGAAGATGCTTGCCCTCCTCTCAAGTGGAATGGTTTCATGGTGCTGTCATTTGGCGACAGACTGCTTAAAGATGTCAGAGACAACACTGGCTTGAAGCAATGTTTTTCAAACTGTGATCTTGCATACATGCAGTGATGCTGGTGCACTAAGAATATCTGGAAATTTCTAGAGATGGCTCTACTTGCTTTTGAGCCTGATTCAAGATGATGACAATGATGATGATACTACTAATGATGATGATAACAATGACTCTGAGGACTTGGTCTGTTCTAGGCACTGTGCTGAATGACATGCATTATCCCACTCAGTCTTTACAACAACCCGAAGAGATAGAGACCATGATGTCTCCATTTTACAGATGAGAAAACTGAGGCACAGAAATGAGCATGTCCAAGGTCACAGAGTTAATTAATGGTACAACTGGGACTGATCTAATTCCAAAGTACACACTTTTTGTTTTCATTTTTCTTAAATTGGGGTAAACAGATAAAATCCATTATTTTCACAATTTTAAAGTATACAATTCAGTGGCATATAGTACAGTCAATTTTGTTAACTATTACCACTGTTTTCAGAACATTTTCATTGCCCTAAAAGAAACCCTGTATTTAACTCTGTGTTATTCTCCAACATCTCCTAGATGGTATCTTGCCCCTGGTATTTGCCCATTCTGGACAGTTCTTACAAATGAAACCATATGCAGCGTTTGCTTCTGGCTTCTTTCACTTACTGTTTTCAAGGTATGCTTCTCTTGTAGCTTGTTATGTTGTAGCATCAATACTTCATTCCTTTTGATGGCCAAATAATCATCTGCTGTACCACATTTTATATATCCATTCATTGGCTGATGTACTTGAGTTGTTTCCACTCACTGGCTATTGTGAACAGTGTCTTTGTATACTAGTACAAGTTTTGTTTGAATAACTGCTTTCAATTCTTTTGGCTAGAAATTTGTTGATTCAAAGAAGGAAATGACTAAATATCTTGAAATCTTCAGTCATTCAACATATATTACTGAGAACCCAGAGTGCCAAGCCCTGAGAATACAAATTGCAACAAATGAGACAAGAAATCATCCTTGAGCTCCTTAAGAATGACAGTTGAATAAATGAATAAAACACAGACTCTTGCAATATTTAGGATTAAAAATTTCCTTTCATTTGCTGTTGAAGGTAAGTCAAAAGTGGTCAAGAAGCATCTGAGCAAGATGCTCGAACAGGCTGTTTTTGGATACAAGAAAAAAAACTCAACTCAGAATAGCTTCAACAATTCATGCATGGATCATCTTATATAGCGATGTCTGAGGTACAGGGGTTCCTAAATGAGCCAAGTCAGTGGCTCAACAATGTCAAGGACCTAGGGCTTATCCATCCTATTGTCACAACAAGAGGCAACAACTAACTCCAAGCATTTGTCCTCCCCATTCAGTAAGGACCAAAGTGCAAAAGTGGGGAAGCTGTGGGAAAGATTTGGTTTTGTTTTGTTGGCACTTGGGATTGAACCAGAGCCACTTTACCTCTGAGCTACATCCCTAGTCCTTTTTATTTATTTTTATTGTTTTGCAACAGGGTCTCAGTAAGTTGCTTAGGGACTTGCTGAATTGCTTAGGGGCTTGCTAAACTGCTGGGGCTGGCCTCGAACTTGTCATCCTCCTGCTTCTGCCTCTTGCACTGCTGGAATTACAGGTGTGCACCACCTAAGGATTCTTTCTTAATCCCTGTTTAGGTGCAAGACAAAAGTTTACCAGAATATTCCCCCTCTACTCTGTTCTGCCAGATTTGTGACACAGACTATTCCTCAGCAATCACTGGCAAGGGAATGGAATTACAATAAATGATTTAAGGTTAATCGAGATTGAAGCTGGAAGGAGCCCCACTTCCCCTGGGGCCTACAGCCACCTGACACCCGAACAGATTAGAAAATGTAAGAGGGAGAGAATGACTGTAGCATGGGCAGCCAAGAGTACCTGTGCCTGGGCAAGATTTCCTGGAGGAAGTCCAATTCAGCATTCTGAGCTCCAGGCCTTAACTGAATATCTCAACACACACACACACACACACACACACACACACACACACACAAACCTCAACATGGCCAGGACTGAACTCACGATTTCCTCTTCCAGTGTTCGCTTTCTTTGTGACTAGTACTCCCATTCCAAGCCCCAAGTCAGAAAAATAGCCCTCCTGCCCTGTTCCTCCTTCTCCATCGCCCATACCCGTAGGCGCGACGCCAGGGCCGGCTGATAGAACGTCCTGGACAGCTCTGGGGTCCACTCACTCTCTCACTTACGCTGCCATCACCCTGGTCCGAGTTGTCATCGTCACTTCTTCCCCGGACTTCAGCAACCGTCTTCTGCTGGCCTCGCAGCATCCATTTGACCCCTTCCTCCAACGGGATTCCCTCACGTTAGAGGCCTTTTCAAGCGCCAATGGGCTCCTGCTTCCCCCGCTCCGACACGGGAGCCGGTAAGGCCCTGCCCCAACCCTGGCTGAACCCCGCCGCTCTCCCCGCCGTCCGCACTGGCCTCCCTCCGGCCCCTAACCGTCACCTCGGCTTCACCGTCACTTCCCAGGGGAAGGCCTGCAGCAGGACCGGTCCCTGCGCGGTGAAGAACCGTGCCTCCTCTCCGCGCACCTTCTTTCCCTCCACAGCCTGAGGTCCGGGAAAACACCGAGTGGGACCCTCCGACACAGTACCGGCGCACAGTACGAGTTCAACCGCCAAACGGCTAAAGGAACAGCCACCTTCAACGACGTGTGGCTGGTAATGAGCGCGGAGCCAGTCCTGAGAAAACGCGTACCGGCGACCCGCTCGGCGTCCGAACCGCCCGCACCGCGGCCCCGGG